AATGAGTTGCTTTTGAGAAGACCCAAGCCCAAGCCCCGGAGTATGTTTTACTTTCTTTTGGGCATCTCTTTTGCCTAGCCTTCATGCTTAAGCCTCTACTGAAATATCTTTAATACAGTCTCCAACTCTACCTCATAAACTGGCTAGCCTGGAATTCTTTCCAGCATCAAAGCCCAGTGTGACCTGAATTTAGGCCCTTAAAACGAGGGGAAATTCTCAGGCTACTGAGAGTGACAGCTGGGAGCTGTGCCTCTCTGCTGTGTGTCCCTTAAATACTTAAAGTGAAATAAAGACACAAAAGTAAAATGAAAATGTGGGGCCGGGGACCATGGTAAGGGACCTGAAGAGATGGGAGCACCACTGCATCCCATATCCCTGGAGGGACACTAGTTATCTGAAGGAGGGACAGCGGCTCTGCTCTGTCTATCTGGCAACAGTCAGCCTCTGCAGCAGATCACATGATTCAGGAGGTCCTGGGGAGAAGGAGAGGAGCACAAGCCTAGCCACCAAACACCCAGGCCTAGAGCAGCCTTGGGAGCACCTGACTCCTTACCTAGAGTTTTCTTCACTGGGAACAAGACTGGACCAATGAATACTGACGTTAAAGCGCCTAGAGGAAGTCTTTCATAAGCGTCATTCAGCTGTCCCTTTATAGCTGTCACATCTACCTCATAGAAGATGGCTCTCAGCCCAGTAATGGCAAAACAGTAGTCAGGAGGCCCAGGCAGCAAGACACACTTCACGGGGGAGGGGAGAGGAGCTGGGGATCAGGGACTTTGTGCAAGGGCATAAGGTTCACTCTAAAGAAGTGGCCTATCGGACAGAGAAAAGCACAGGGAAGACGCTGAGGGTAGACGGGTGGGGTCTCAACATCGGGTCCTTTTTGTCCACGGTCTAAGAGAGGAAAGCAAGCAAAACCTGGGCTGCGAAAGTGCCTAGAGTGACCTGGATGCAGACTAGACGCAATGCCCTCCTGTTCGGAACGAGGGTTTACCAAGCCAACCCAGTAAAGCCCATACCAGGCATAGGAATGACCCAGCACTTGCTGCCTACTCTGACATACTGTGAGGTCCGAGGCCTCAGAGCAGGCTTCAGGGTGAGCGAGGCGACAAGACTAGGCTCCAGAGTAGTCCCTAACGCTGGAGACTGTAGCCCTCCACCCAGCAACAACCATGCAGCACCCTGTCCCTCCAATCTAGACTCTTACACAGCAAGTCTGCTCCTGCCTGCCATGAACACCTCCCCGTACCCAGTCCTGACAGGGATAATCAGAAACGTCTTCCAGTACCGCGGGGCTGCTTTTAATTGTCAGAGACGGTCTAGTCTGTCGGACTACAGTGCCAAGACAGACCTGTTAGTTTCCATTTTACACCTTGGAAAGAGGAAAAGTGAGTTAGGACGAGAAGGTGCGGGCCGTCTCGCCCTCGACCAACCTGGTCCAGACCGCGTTCCAGGAGCACGGTGCCCGACCGTGGGGTAAGCCCGCCAGGAGCGCAGCCAGCCAGCCCCAGCCTCCTGCCGCACACTCACCGCCTCCGCCGCCGCCGACTTCCGGGTGCCGCACCCGCGCGCCATAGCCGCCAGCCCAGGACCCGCCCGGGCCGCTGCCAGAGCGCTCGCTATTGGGCGCAGCGGCGAAGGGCGGAGCGGAGAGCCCACAGCCGCGGCCTTGTTGGCTGAACATGCCTTCGTTCAGAGACTCGGAGCTCCGCCCCCGCAGCTGCGCCAAGCCTGGAACTGCACCAAGGCTGGAGTTGTGCGGGCATCTATTCCTTTTATGCTGCCACAGCATCTCAGCCTGCGCGTTATCTCTGCGAGAATGAAGACAGACTCTGAACCCCGCCGGGTTTTGGCGCCGAAGCCCCACCCGTTGGACTGGGTCCTGATCGTAACCTTTAGACAATACTCTAATCTCTCCTGGACAGCCTTCCCTTCCTTTGTCGCCCCCAATTCAACCCAGACTGTCCCTGGCTTCTGACTGACGCTTTATCTATTGCAGTCCTTGAATCAGAAAGTACCACAGAACTTGGACTTCTGCTCTATCTTGCCTTCCGTAGTCTTTGAGTAGACATGGAGGCTGTCCTGCAGATCCATACCCCAAGGATGAGCTGTTGACCATGCTTGAGCTGTTTGGGCAATGACTGGGGCCTTCAGAAGAGGGCCAAGGCATTCACGGGGTCTTCTCTCTAGCATCAGGTTGTGTCAGAGGCCTGAGCATAACTAAGGTGGAGCACCAGAGGCCCTCCCCAAGACGAGTACTCCCAAAGGACAATGATAATGTACTATAGGCTCTCAGCCCAGTGTCTTGATACGCAGTTCTTATTCACTCCACTTTATAGATGCAAATATAATTGCCCAGCCCACAAGCTATTCAGCTATGAAGTAAATTAAAGAGCTAACAAGATCGCTATGTGATTGCTGTCAAACCTGGGCACCTGAGTTACAGCTCTGTGACCCACATGGTGAAAGGAGAAAACTGAGCCCTTTAAATTGTCCTCTGGACGCCACATGTACATTATGGTACATACACACTAAATAAAATGTAATTTAAAAAAAATTGTAAAAATGTCAAGTGGCAGCAGCTGCATTGAAGACCTAGGTGCCATGGTCCCAAACCGAAACGCTGACGCTTCGCAGAAAGCTGGAACTCCAAAGAGACAAAGACAAAGCCGCAGTCAGACCCAGCCGCAGGTGTCTGCTCTCTCACAGCCTCACCCACCTGTATTTCTCCTGAGGACTTGTGCACCATGACTAGTGGCCAGCAGGTGGCAGACCTAGCTAGGCCCTCCAGGTTAACCCAATCACCCTGTGCTTCTGCCAGAAGTCTCCAAAAGAGCAGCCAGACCACTTGGTCTACAGTAGGCTAAAGACAAGTAGGCTTGGGAATAAATGAGCATGGGCTGGTTATGGACTAGCAGATACACAGTAGCGCATCTCCAAAGCACCAAGCCATGCACCTCAGAGTGGGATATCACTAATAGAGATGTAACACCATGTTGGATGGTGGTTCAAATCCTGTCACAGGCGGCAGGTGGCTGCGTGACGGGATCTGAACCCCAGCCCCTATTTTTGTTAGTTATACACTCTGACATTCTCTCCCAATTGAGTCTGGCTTATTGCCATTCCACCTCCAATTGCACAGTCCTCAGAATAGAAGCTCACTATTTATTTATTTATTTATTTATTTATTTATTTATTTATTTATTTTGTAACCACCCTTTTCAGTCTTTAAGTACTGACTAATCAGGAAGTTCTTCTTAACCAATACACCTTCTCTCTGTGGCTTTCTCCAGCACTATCCCTACAGAGCTTTCCAGAGGAAAGAGGGAAGGAAGGAGGGAGGAAGAGAGAAAGAGGAGGAAGAGGAAGAAGAGGAAGAGAAGGAGAATAAGGAAAAGGAGGAGGAGGAAGAGGAGGAGGAGGAGGAGGAGGAGGAGGAGGAGATGACACTGGATTATTGGTCCCTGTGGGCTTCTGCTCTATTTTTGACCCCTGCCTGGTAGAGAAACTGCAAGACAGCATTGCTGAGCCCTAGCTGAGTTGGCTCTACCCACCCTGATCTTCTCTATGCAGCTGGTGATCAGGCTCTAAAGCAGGCAGGTCTCTGGGAGGGGCAATACTAGCTTGGGCTAATTTGGAGGCTATGTCTCCCTTTTGCCCTCTTCCAGCAGAAGAGACTGTTCAGCCTCTTTGGTACCATCAGCAAGTATGGGGAAGTAGACACAGAACTACGAGGTCTTCAAGAGAAGGGCTCCAGGATGGCCAGGGGGCCAATGCCTTTGGAGACAGGCCAGGGAACAGCTGGATGTACTCAATCCATTTCTAATAGAGGAAGAGAATCCCCCACCGCACAGCAACCTAGCCAGAATGGCATCTGCAGTGTTGCTCTACATAGTGAGAGCTACCTTCTGGGAGGACTCTGTTCTCTTGGGAGTGCTCGCTCTGCCTTCCCAGAGCTGCAACAGTGCCAGGATGCCAAATGGGTTCATTTCCAGTACCAGTACCAACGGATTAGTAGCAACTGTCTTGACTCTGAAAAACTGGTATCGATTTTTATTGCTAGAGCACAGCCAAACCCAGGTGGGCCCAGAAATGTAGTCTAGCTCCAGGCATTTAACTTTCTTTGTTCTTGCCAAGCAACCATTATTGTGTGAGCACATTGGACTCAGCACAGATGGGTGAAATATGACTGTTAGGGTAGCGCCCCCCCCCCCCCCGCGCCTCCATTAACACTCTCTGGAGGGGCCTTAAGTTGCTCATTTCCAGGTGCATCCAGAGTGTGGAAGGCTTGTAAGCAAGCACAGGCCAGATCCATTTCCCCTGCCTCTCTGCACTCCCATCTCCTGTTTTACAGCATCTCCTCCACTGTCACTGTCACTGCAGAGATGTGACTGGTGTGCTCTCTACCTGGCCGGGAAATGTGTGTTAATCTTTTCAGGAAGTGGATGAAGCTCCTTGATGCTTCTCCGAGACTCAGAGCAGGGCAGAGGAAATCGGGGCACCAGGGTGGAGTGGGGAGAGAAAAACGTATAATTGCCCTTTCCCAGACTGAGCACTCTTGTCATTGCCCCGGGAAAGCATAGCATTATGCAGCGGGGAGTGGGTGTGTGTGTGTGCCCAGGGGCTCTGTAAATACATGCTTCACAGAAGAAACAGACCTTAGTTTTACCAGAGTCTGCTTCTGCTCTTGATATCGCTGCAGTCGTCCTCACCCCTTGCCAGCCTACCTAACCTTGTTGGTCCTCGCTTGCAGATATTCTGGGACAGTGAGACAAGCCCCCCCCCCCCCCCCCCAGGCCTGGACGTCCGAAGACTGAATTCACGACTTAGTCGCCTAAAGCAAACAGTAACCTAGCCAGACCTCAGTCTTCCATCTATAAAATGGGGGGGGGGGTAGCAGCCCAATCCTCCTTTGCAGGGCGTAGGAGAAATACCATTCTACGACAATAAAAAAGGATCGACGCTTAGTGTCCCGGCAAACAGCAGGCGCTAGAGGATACCTGCGAACTGGGAGTGATGTTGGAGACAACGCTGCTGGAATCCGGGAGTGACAGCCCGGTCCTACAAGGTCCGGCTCAGGGGGAAGTCCTCGGAAGGTGGCTGGGAGGAGGCAACTCTGCTTTCTGCCTCCGTTGCAACCGCAACATTCCGGGCAGGTGTCAGAGCCTGGGCCTGCTCTGCCAGGGGGCCGATCTTGGCTAAGACTGACAATACCAGGAGCCCTACAGCAAGCCGCAATCTGTGCACATCCATCCAATCCGTACGGGCTGCGGGGCGCGTCTCTCTACCAATGGGGAAATTCTCGGTTGGATGGGGCGGGGCGGAGGCCTCTTCTCCGGCCAGGTCCGCTTTGCGCACGGGCCGCGGGAGGGGTGGGAGGGCTGGCCTGATGACTGCTCGGGGTAGATGAGGAGGGGGAGGAGGAGGAGGAGGAGGAGGACGGTTCCCTAAGCCCCGCACCCGCACCCGCACCGGAACCCGCCCGAGCTGTGGCCCTGGAGCAGTGTTGGGTGCAGAGTGCTGGAGAGGCCGCTCCCCCCAGCGACGGGGGACCCCGGGACGCGTGTCTTGGGGGCGGAGGCCTCGCTGCGGAGCCGCCCACGCCGCGCGCCAGGTGAGCTCGGCCGGGTGGGCGGGGTCCGGCTGTGGGCCTAGGTCTGGGCACTCGCGTCTGCGCCGGGACTGGGGGTGGGTGCTGGGGGATTGGGTGCTGGGGGTCGGGCTGGGCATAGCGTCTAGGTTGCAACGCGGACTAGGGTAGAGACAGGGTCCTGGGCTCGGACTCAAGGTCTGGGTGGGGTTCGGAAGCCAGTTCTTCTGCCCTTCCGAGCCCTCGCCCACACTGGGTCCCCCTAGAGACCCGGGGTCGCTTGGGGGCGGGTCTCTTTGTGCGTGACCTCAGGGCCCTGTCCGACTTGGTTACAGCGCCAGCTTCATGCCGCCGCCGGCTGAACAAGACCAGGCTCCCGCAGCCTTGCCCTCAGAGAGCCACCGGAGCGCCTGGAAGCAGGCACGCGGCAGCTACAGAAACTTTACAGGGACCCAGGGGCGGCGAAGCTGGGGAACTTCCTAGGGTGTCACGGTCGTTGGTGAGGGAAAGGTCTTGGCTCCGCCAAGGGGGTGCTCCCCAACGCACCTCGCTACTCCTAAGGCCTCAGAAATGAAAGAGGAGGCGCTACTGGGAATCCCTTGTCTGGTGTCTCAGCTTGGATCTCGTCCCTAGATATCCCTACATTCCTCAGTGGGACTCCGGCCTTGGACAGTCTGCAAGCCTGGAGTTGCTCTGGGCAAGAGGCCTGGGTACCCTGGCTTTCCCCTTTTAATTTTTAAATAATTACATGCTGCATACATGCAACATTTTACTGTATTTGTTTCAGTGTCAGCTATCAGATTATCCAGGGTACTAGGGAACTCTCACTTCCCTGTAGATTCAGACATTTAGAAATGACAGAAAAGAAAGAAAATGCTCCCATTTGTGTTAACTTCTAGGCTAGACTCATAATGTGGGCTAACAATCTGAGATGCAGAACACATGCCTACTTTTATAAAGCCAGGGGATGGCGCCATGGCCAACCTGTCTTTAGGACCATCTCTCCCTAAGTAGGACCAGCTAAACACGGAGAGTCTGCAACTCCACAAGGATCCCAGCCCCTCCACCTCTCTCTGGACCAGGATCCAGGCTGTATATGGTCCATCCAGAGCAGGTGCTGCCTGCTGGGGGAGGGGGGGTGGTGATGTCTCAGGATCTGTGAGCCTGGGATGGTGACATGCCAGTACTGTTGGAGCTCGTTCCTGTGTTCTGAGGCTATGTCCAGACAGGTATTGTGTCGTCTAAGGTATCTGATGCTTTCTGCTGTCTGCAACCACCTTCCATTTGAGGTCCTAATATTAGGGTCTGTCACGTAAGTAAGTGGGCACAAAGCACTTGGCTCGGATGACAGAGATACTTCTGAGCACAGCTAAGCCAGTGCCCACCTGGGTCCCTTTAGCTGTGCCATCCTCATGACTTTCACGCACAGATGCTTGTGACCAACACTCTCATGCATGAATTGGGCCCAGCCCTCAGTCTCACCAGGGCCCAGCTGCTATACCACTCTCACCCTCAGTCTGTGCGCTTTGGCTCCTTTCAATCTTGCATGCATGCGTGAACACACACACCTCTCCAGGTCGCCTCTTCCTAGTCTCAAGCACCCTTTGCACTTCTTAGCCTCTGTAAGAGTAGGGCTATACCCTGTCCTTGTTTTCGCAACACATGGATTCAGACTGAGACCTCTCAATGCCAGACCAGCCTGGAGCTCTTCAACAGATGCCTAGCTGGAAAGCTAGAGCTCTGCTTCTTCTGGTCCGATTGTCAGGAGTTGGGGAGGAGTCAGAGATCCTTGGACAGGCCCCTTGGCATCCTGGAGTGCTTCTTTCACTCTGAGGGTCACATAGTGGTGGGATGGTGAAACCTAGACCCAGAAGGACACTAGTAGATGGAAATGGATTTGCAGGGGGGTCCAGACATGGACTGTGCATCAGTGTCCATTGTAGCAGTTGGTGTGTTGTTGCGATGGGTCAGGAGGAGTGGTTCTGCTGTGGTGGGTACCAGTCATTGAGCAGAATGAATTTTCCCTGCCAGGTGGCTGAAAAACTCTCTATCTGTGCCCATGTTGACTGCTGAAAGGGCGTGTTCCTAGCTACTTGCATTTTCAATCCTACCCTTCCTCACAGAGCAGAGCCTAAGGAGGCCCATGTAAGACTGCAGCATGAGGAGGCCACTTTCTCAGTACACTCAGTACTGAGAAAGCTCTTAGGCAGGTCATCCTGATCCATGGTGCGCATGTGTGACTCTAAGTCACCTGCTTCTCAGCCTCAGCTGGCCTGACTCATCTTGTACCTGTGGAAGTCTCCACATAGTCAGCCCTTGCTGGCATGTAGCTTCCTGGTCTGTCCTTTAAGCTTGAACCAGGCTTGTACCCCAGTCTAAAGCCATGTGGTTGAGTCAGTGGCACTGTGACACAGCTGCAGACCCTCCCCCAGATTCTGAGTAGGTCTGTGGGGTTTAGGCAGGTGGTGGCAGTGTCTCGAGATTTACATGGTTTGGTGGAGAAACCTAATGTGTGTGCCTGGGAGGCGGGTTATGACTAGGGTAGGCTCAGACTATTAATCCTCAGTGGAGAAATGGAGCATGGCAAGGCACCCAGTGGTCCTTGGGCAGGTCAGTACCCCTGGAGCCTGTAGAACATCAGCAGGATGTTCAAAGGGTTTCAAGATGGGGATCCCCTGTCATGAGTCCCATCACTAGATCTGCCTTTGTTTAACTGCCCTATCCAGTCTCTTTTGTTATTTCCTATTTGCCTTCTGATTCAGGGTCCCCAGCAAGGTGGCTAGCCATAGTTACTCCACCCTGACCATACCTGTACCCTGCCCCTGTGATGAGAGCACTCCTAGAAAGAGACCCAGGCCTCTGTTGACCCCCACCACCCTGCATCCCAAAGTTCCTCTACCTCTGCACCTTTTCCCTACCATCTCTCTAGGAGTCTCATATGGCAGGGGTTCTATTCTTGTAGCCATGCCATTCCCTGCTGCGTGAGAGGTATGAGAAACCCTGGGGATAGGAAGACTTGAGTTCATATCCTGCTTGGTCCATCTCTGGTTTTTCACATTTGTAAAATGGGGAATTATACCTACTCAGGACTGTCAATGGGAGCCAGATGTTGGCTCACAGATCATGTGGCCAAGGCTGTGGCATGTAGCGAGTCCTGGTGAGAGACTTTTCAAAGATCAGGGCTGATAACAAAGTCACATGGTTCTCTGTGATAAAAAAATCTAGGTTAACATTTAAGTTAAAAGCAAAGTTGTCCCAGAAATGTCATGCCTAGAGCAGGGCTCATTCCCCAGCCACAGGCTTTGCCTCTGCTTGGGGGGTTAGTGGGCTACTCTCTCCAGCCGTTCCTCCAGTATCAGCAGGTCCTCCTGCCTTAGCATGTGCCCGACTCCCCTCTGCCTCTGCTGTTGAGTGTTGACGCTCACCCACACATTGCATGATCCCACTTTAACATTTAACCAGCTTTCTCCTTTCTGCTTGACGCCTGTCTGCGGAATGGCCTGGCAACTTCTAGCAACACAGCCTGGCCTGAATATGGCCACCAGAGGGCCTCAGGGACTGCCAGAGGAGCAAGCCAGGCTCCGAGTACTCCCTTCATTCTCTGCTGTACATACCCCTTCTGCACCCCCCCCCCAACAGGGTTAGTTGAAATTCATATTCAGAAGCTTGATAGGCTAAGACAGAGGCAGACCCACCTCTGAGTCCAAGCAGATGGAGTCCACACAGGAAGATTGGGCAGAGGCACAGAATAACCTGGAAACAGAGAAGACTATTACCTACCTCGTAGTACCCCAGAGATGCCTCCTTGTTTGTCCATTCCTCTCTGACTGTCCATGCCATACATGTTTTCATATATATGACATAGACACTCGGGTAGTGTCCCTAGGCTCAGATATGCCAAGAGGGAATGTGTCCCTAGACTATCTAGACAATCTAGACAGGAAGTGATGGTTCCATCAACCCATGGTGGAGTTGTGTGCTGAGCAGACACCTCTGCTGTCTCACCAATGCTCCAGCTTACACACCGTGTGTACTTCACACTCAAGGGCCAAGTCCTACAACTTGCCTGGAACTGGGAGCCACGGTTAGAGCTAGCTCTGGGGAGCCTTGGGAAAGGCAAATGTCATCCCACAAGGTGTGGATTGCAGGTCAGGGAGACACAAGACCCTATGTGGAACAGCAAGACTCTAATGATGCAGCCTTCTGGGAGGAGAAAGAGGTTGCTAAGTGTCCATATCTCTGACCTCTCAACCTCATCAGAAGGGAAGTTGACCTGATACAAACTGCAGTCCCAATTGTGTGTGGAGACAGGAAAGTGCATATGCCATGTGGTTGAGTCAGGAGCATCACAAGGTAACCTTAGGAATAGGGATGCCAGTGTCCTGCCTGGAGGACAGTCTAAGCCAGTATGCCTGCGTCCAGAAGAAACAGAGTCGAAGATGGCTTCACATAGTCTCCTCTGGTTTCTCTACAGGAACAGAGTCCACAGGATGGGTGTTAGGACATGCTGAGATCCCTTGAAATAGGTAAGTAGCCTGCGCTGCTCGGGATAGCAGAGTATCCTGGTGGGGTTAGTG